CACCAGGCTAACCCATCCCCCCACCCCCCTCCCCTCTAGAACCCTCAGTTTGTTTTTCAGAGTCCATCGTCTCTCATAAACCAAGAGACAATTCTATGGTTGCTTTGGAAAAAAGGTCATGTCTTAGTTTTATAGACCTCTGTAAACTAAGGTGATACGGGCCTTAACATTTGTATAAAAACTATTAGGTGTGAAATCAAAGGAAGCAAAAAAGGAAACCACAAGAAAAAACACGAAACATTTTTATTAACCTGTCCCATCTTCTAAAAATGCTAGATAATGAAATTTACATCAACATCACCTGGGAATTTGTTAGAAATGAATATTCTTGAGACCCACACCAAGCCAACTAAAACACACTCTCAGAGGTGGGACCCTGTACTCAGAGCTTTCACAGCTTTGCTGTAAACCATCACTTGGTTTGTATGTCTTTCACACTTGTTTCCTGTTCTACTGTGTAGAAGAATGACCTGGTAATTCTGATGTGCACTAAAGTGGGGTCTGCTGACTGAACACATACTGTGCAGCACTGTTTTTGGACACTCCGGTTGTCACCCCAAGCTCCCTTCCACCTTTCCCCCATTCTACACTAGCCCTGTAGTTTGGGTGGGATCTGACCCTATCTGAAGTTCCAGGGTAACTCTACAATAGTTAGGTAATCCCATCCCCACTAGAGTATTGACTGGTTCGGGTAAGCCAGGCCTGGCATTCTCCTGACTAAAGGGGGATTCAGGATTAGGCATATGATCCAATCTGGGCCATTAAGACACGAGGGGAGGTTCGAGGGAAGCTTCTCTATGTCCTTCTGGATGGTGGATCTTCTAGTTAATATAAGCAAATAAATCTCTTCTATTGTTTAAACTGTGTCAACAGGGTTTTGTCAGTTGTAAATACATTGCAACTAATACAATGCCTCAAACAGAAATGATGACTGACCTGAAGACCAAAAGTTAAGGTAAGTGAGATCAGTCACACATTTCTCCTCTAACTAGGCTGAAGAGGATACAAGGTGTTCAAAGGGCATTTACATGATAGAAAGGTACCTGTATCTCAGTGGTACCTTCAGTTATATCTACTATGCTGACATCACTTGGTTTGGATGTCTTTCACACTTGTTTCCTGTTCTACTGTTTAGAAGAATGACCTGGAAACAGATTATGGGTTATATGTCCTGTCTAAGAAGAATGATTTAATTCTGTAGCTGGATTTACTTCTGAAACTGGAAGATGGGATCAGCATTAGACAAAAGAAAAAGTTTGAGAAGCACTCTTCAGTAGCTAATCTGTCTGCCTTTAAAGGGCATATGCAGTTGGCCCTTGAGCAACAGGGATTTGAACCATCTAGGGCAACTTATATACAGATTTTTTTCAATAAATAAAGTTCAGTACTATAAATGTGTTAAATGTGTTTTTTCTTCCTTACGATTTTCTCAACAACATTTTCTTTTTTCTGGCTTACTTTAAGAAGACAGTATATAAAACATGTAACATACAAAACACATGTTAATTGACTATGTTATGGGTAAAGCTTCTGGTCAATAGCAGGCTGTTAGTAGTTAAGTGTTTGAGGAGTCAGAAGTTATATGGATTTTTGACTGTGCAGGGGGGTTGCCACCTCAACCCCCAGGTTGTTCAAGGGCCAACTGTTTTAATCATAGGGTATTCCATTCCAAAGTGCTTATATTAAAACTCTCCATCATAAAAATTTTATTACCAGTGACCAAGGGAGTGTGGAGAGTGCAAATCAACTATTAAGACCTGGAACCAGCAATAAGAAAATGTAAAATAGAGCAGGGAAAATAAGCCCAGCACACATGAAACAGATATAATTTGCAAAGGATTAAAAAAAAAAAAACGATTATCAGTTGTCTGTCAGTCACCATGAGATTAAGAGGAGTTGTAGAATTTAAAACCACTGACTACCAAATACATTGTAAATGGATTTGTATTATGCATTATTTTCCATATTACAAATGTGTTGTTTCCCAACCTGTTTTTTGTTGTATTTTATTTATTCTTTTTTTTCCCAGTAAGAAAAAGAAACACAAACTCACATTTTGTACTTGTTCTGGAAGATGGAGCCCATTCCTTTTTCCCATTTTAATGGACTTTTCTAAGTATCTTCTGGCTTCAGGTTTTATCTTACTCAGATCACATGTTTCCTGAAATGAAAGAGTGTGACAACCATTTCTGTTACAATAGTGCATGGGTAATTATAAACTGTGAGACCAAAGCAAATTTATTCATCATCTCTGTTGAATTATGAAGCACATAGGTGATTACAAGGCAGGTTCTTTTGAAGACCTAATCTCTTTTATGCTTTAGTGAGCTTTGCTCATTTAAAAGAGAAAAATTAAATAAATAAAAAGCTAACCAGAATTGCCTTGCCTTGCATCAGAATCAAGAGTGCCTGTACCACTTGAAGTGTGATAAAAGAAACATTTGCATAATCTCATTCTGAGCATTCTCTATGACCATGGTCTTTTTCAAAAAACATATTCCTTATCACAAATCATCTGGATTTAATTTTCCATCATTTGCTAACCTGGTTCCACCTGAGAGGCCGAAAGAGAAATAATGGGCAAATTCTACACAAATGGAGAGTGCGACTCTTTTACCAACATACCAAACAAGGACAGCTGGATAAAACCCCAACCAAAGGCTTCCAACACTTCAAAAATGCTTTACTGTCATTTGGCAAGAGAGATCAAGAGACTGCAGCAAGCAGCATATGAACAAATATCTGGGGAAAATGAGTCAACACTGCACAAAAAGGAGGAAAGCTGGACAGAACATTTGAACCTGTATGCAGCAACACAAACAACATCACTCAAAAGAATGGAGGGCCCTCGAGGAGAATGGAAAATTCCCCCGGCAATAGCAAGGTAATAAAAACACCAGATGTTTCTTCAAAACAGGTGGCAGAATATACATGGCACATCTGGATGGCTGGCCAGTTCATCTCCCTGGGAGGAAATGCACTCCGGACAGACTCTGCACTCCGGACAGACTCAGCAGGTGTAATGGATTCAGTTTGGGTGAGAGCCAATGAGGGACATCTGTCTCTAGAGCCTTAGAGACATACCATTGGGTACACTCTCTCTCTCCATCAAGACCTGGGCTACCCACCTCTCAGCTTTATATTTTCCCAACTAAATACATCTTTGAAAGAACAATGTTTAGCTTTAGAGCCTACATTTTAGATTGTTGGTGTTAAGGCTTTTGCTGCAGTAACTGTAATTTTTCACATTTTGTTGCAGCAAGCAAATAGCGTATTTTATTTTTTTAATTTATTTATTTGGGGGGAGAGAGAGAGAGAGAGAGAACATGCATGAGTAGGGGGGAGAGGCAGAGGGAGGGTAGGGAGGGGGAGAAGCAGATTCCCCACTGAGCAGGGAACTCTACACAGGGGCTTAATCCCAGGACCCTGAGATCATGACCTAAGCCGAAGGCAGATGCTTGACCACCTGAGTCACCCAGGTCCCCCCAAATACTGTATTTTAACTGAGGGTACTACTTAATACAATGATCTGTATTTCACTTTGCCTATCAATACAAAATTTTATGTTCTAGTACTAAAGCACTTTTGTGCACATTACTCACTGTTTCCTCTGCGTTTATTCTCAGTGGAGGCAGAGAACAGTTAGATACCTTTTTGCATAATAACCTCCTTTTATATCCTTGGAGAACTTCTGAGCATGCTGGCATGACTGGAGTTGGAACCCTTCCTAACTGGTATTGGCACACACTGGGATCCCAGCAGTAGGTGCTTGCAACAGGAAGAAACCCATAATGTCCAGGGAGATAACAGGGCTGTGGGCTGGCTCCCTTAGGGATGGCTAACAGTTCAAGTCACAGTGTTCATGTGCAAGTGATTAACCTGGGTTGATCAAGGCTGGTTTTAACAGCACAAGGAAGTATGTCCTGAGGTGTGGGGCACAGGAATAGGAGTTTCTAGAAAGAAGGTACAATACTGGGTGTTGTAAGGTTGGGGAGCATCTAGGCACGAGCTATATGTAGCAGGGATAGAGGAAAAAAATCCCCCATGAGAAGGGCCTAGAAAGAGCTGGGTAAGTTGTGAAGGACCCAAATATGCAGGCAGAGATCCCGAGCAGAGGGCCGTCCCAGCTGGGCAGTGAGCCAAGGCAGAAGCTGGGCACAGTGCTGGACAGCAGGTCCTAGTACTTGGGTTCATGGGTTCACCTGGTCACAGTGGCCCTGAGATTAGGCTCATGATAAGTCTCAGCAGCTGACGTGAGCAGAATTCTCACTCTATGCTACACTCGATCAGGAAGGGCTCACATACGAGGAGCACCTGGAGTTGCTGTATCTTGGAGTGAGTACTTGGGCTGCTACTTCAGAAAGCCTAGAAGCATACTCAGTATAGTAACCTTAAAACTCATGGTCTTGATGAGGTAAAAACTGTTGACTCCCCAAAAAGGTAAGACAAGCATAAACAGGTAGAAGGATGTTCTGAGAAAAATCTGCCCCGAATCAGGTTTAATTAAAATATGACTATCTGTACTGAAATATTTGACTTACCACAGAAATGACACTTAAAATTCTGACTCAATTGTAACAAGGCACCATCTGCCAGTCAGACTCTGAGGTCTCAGAAATCTCTGGAGGGCTCTCGTAGGAGTAAAACACTTCTAAAATGTGCTTCTAAAGCACATTCCTGTCCCAGAGCTGATCATATGAATATTCTCCCTTATAATCTCCAGGCAAGATCAGAATGACTGCTTAAGGATTTTCCAGCAGGGAATCAGCCAGTACTTCTAGACTGCTCTGCTGTACTTGCACCTTCCTTCCTTCCTAAGAATTTAATCCACTTGAATTGGAACCAGGTCTCAGACATCTTTGGGTGAAGTTTCTCCTCTTTAGGGATGGGGGAAGGCCTAAAGTGCTCTTCTGTAATTTTCAAATTTATATCATCTGACAGTAGAGGCTCTTAACTTTATTTAATCTCTGTGGTGACAAGATTTAGTTTCTTCCTAACCTCCTCCTATAACAGAGAGGTTTTATATAAAAGTGTGAATGCGTGTGCACGCATTTGTGTGTACACACTTACACATGTGCTTGTATATTCATATCACAGACAAGAAAATGATGTTTTAATGATCTTCCTAATATCACTCAGCTATTTATTAGGAAAAATGGATAGAAACAAATTCTGCAAAATTCTTACGTTGGTACTTTCCGCAATATATTATACCACTACATTACAACACCTTAACTTATTATCATTCTTCAAAATTTCATTACAAATAAGTGAAGATTTTTAAAATTTCTCTCCAATCCTCCCCACCGTCTATCCCATAACTGTGTCCTTTTCTTTTTAAGACCCTCACATTTCCAGTTTCTAAAATACGTAAATAAAAAATAATTTCAGTGGGACTTTCTATATTGTGTATACAAAGTAGAAAATACATTGTTAAAAGAACCCTGAAAATTAAGATAGTATATTTCTTTGAATATCATTTAGAAAAATGGATTCATAAGCTTTGAATATGCTAAAGCAATAGAACATAACAACAGAGTAGAATACAGATCCTATTGCAAAAGCTAAGACAGAGGCATAACTTAATTAAATGAGTTATATTTGCAGTTTTCTTTCTTTCCTGTTCTTTTCAATGTTATGTTTTCTGTTAGGTTTCTATCTGACTATTGTGAAAAGGGCATTCTTAGGTAGCTGCTTGTGCTCCCAGAGAGGGGGGCCACACAAAGGCCTGCTTGCTGACATATTCAACTTACTACTACAAGCCCCTGCTTTGGTGTGAGCCAGAGGCCCAGTGAGGACACTGGGAGTGGGGAACCATACTTCATGAAGACACATTTTAACTGGGGCCAGTTCAGTTGCATTCAGCATACATTCACTGAGCTCCTACTTATATGCCAGGTACTGGAGAAACAAAGATGAATATCCTTGAGGTGCTCTAAGTAATATGAAGGAAACAAATTTTTAGCAGATAATGTCAGTAGCAGGTAGTGAGTGAAGAGAGAGTGTGAAAGAAGCACAAGAGTGGTGTCTGGCTAATGGGGAAACTAAGGCAAGGTAGTTGATGCTTTGTATTAGGTCTCCAGCTACAACTTTCAGTAGTACTGATTATGACCAATAACTAGACTTACATGTTTCAAAATCAAGACGGGATGGTGTACGGGTGCCTGGGTGGCTCAGTTGGTTAAGTGGCTGCCTTTGGCTCAGGTCATAATCTCAGGGTCCTGGGATCGAGTCCCACATCGGGCTCCTGGCTCTGCGGGGAGCCTGCTTCTCCCTCTGCCTGCCACCCCCCTGCCTGTTCTCTCTCTGTCAAAAAATAAATCTTAAAAAAAAAAAAAAAAAAGGAAGGGATGGTATAGGTTAAGAAAATTACCATTACCACACTGAATTTTGGACTTAGTTTTTTCTTTGCTTTTCTTTTTCTTCCTCCTCCTCTTCTTCTTCTCTCTCCATTTCTCTCTCTCTCTCTCTTTTTTTTTTGCCATAGTCTTAAGACACTGGTTTGTGGATTTTAATTTGGCATAAGGTCTCCATGGCTGGTAGAGTAGGAGACCATACAATGCTTAAAAGCATCTTTACTTAATCCCATGACTTATTCTTTTACACTTTAACATTAAAACTTTAAGTCATTAATTGAAGATGAATTGGCCTGACCAAAGCCCAGGGCTCTGAAAAAAATATAAACAATATTACAATAGATACCTGTATTTCTCGATTCAGCTGTCATCACTGAGACTCCAAATTCACTAAAGAATCCCTCTTCTGTGCTTATTAGTTAGCAATCCACTGGAAAAAAATATTATATGCCTGGATTGTTTTATTTTTTTTAATTTTTTAAAAAGATTTTATTTATTTATTTGACAGAGAGACAGCAAGAGAGGAAAAACAAGCAGGGGAATGGGAGAGGGGGTTGACGCGGGGTTCGATCCCAGGACCCTGGGTTCATGACCTGAGCTGAAGGCAGACACTTAACAACTGAGCCACCCAGGCACTCGCCTGGATTGTTTTAACATGGAGACACTGCACATTTTTCTCACCAACATGGCTTGAAAGAGGGTCTATGAAGCCTCTACTGGCTTCTGAGCCAACAACTAAGAAACCTTTGTCAAGACTGGGAAATGCCAAGACCTATGGCCCTGACTGCTGGCTTTTGATAATTGG